TGTCACTCATATACAAATCTCTAAAATACTCCTACCATTCCCTCACTTCAGTCCATCCCAAATCATTTCACCACTTTTATTTTTAATGTTCCCTTTTCTGAATTCTCCTTGGTTAGCCCTTTTCCATTTATTTACAAAACAACTTTTATTTCCATGAAAATAGTTCTGCATTTTGTCTCTTAATTGTTCCTTCTCTCTTTGACTACATTCTTTGCAATTATTTTCTTCTCTCTATATACATTACAGAATACCCTTTTCTAGTACTTAGTTTTTGAAGCAATCATTCTCATATGCATCTTTTCTTCATCCACAGCCTCCTTTACTTCATAATTCCATGAAACATCCTTTTTCATACTTCCCATTAGTAGACCTCCATACACTTCTGTGGCATCAAGTAATATAATTCTTTTCTTTCTGCTCCCCCAAGCAGCTTTCACATCATTTTTCCTTACATCTACTTTCCACTCCTTCTGTCAGGAAATGCATTGGTTTTCTAATACTTGTATATATAGGAGATGTACGTTCTCTTCCTGCAGTCATTCTACTTTCACTCTAGTTTTATTACTTGATACCGCCAAGTAAAGGTTTCTCCCACTTCAGAACTCTAATCATCTTTGTATCCTTTATTAATTATCTTAATATTTCATCTTAAATAATCAGAAGTATCTGGAGGCTGAGTCATGGCAACTGGATTTCTTTTGGTTTGATACGTTTTGCTGCTTGTCGAAGTAGCTTCTTTGACTGAAGAAGCTGCTTTGACAAGCAGTGAAACGTATCAGACCAAAAGAAAAGAAGTCCAGTTGCCATGACTCAACCTCCAGATAATTCCACCTGGAGGACTGAGAATCTTCATCAACATAATCAGATGTATGTTTTCCTTTTTCTTCTGACCCTGGCCTGTGCAGTTCAGGTATTTATCTCTTCAGAATGGAGGAGAGCGCAGAATGGGCTCTTAGCTGTCGACAGGCAATGTAGCCTTTCCTATCGCTATGTTATTTCCTAAAAAACTTACCTCATTTTTTTCTCATAACCACCAGCCTGAAGAATACTTTTTTTTAAACCACTTCAGTGTTTTTCTTTCCACACATTCCTTCCACTGTATATCTGCTATCTAATCCTGTAGAGATTGGAAACTCATATTGAGGTCCTATGACTTCTTTGTGTTACAAATTGTCCAATGCAGCCTAAGGGGTTTCTGAGCTGTGAAGAACAGCCTCTGCTTTTTGTAATTACGATTTAGAACAACCTCCCCCAGGAATTTAGTCTCTCCCAATGCTATCAGCTTTCCACAAGCTATTACCAACAGAGCTCTTTCAGAAAACCTTTAATATATATGTTGTCATCATCTGTTATAGCACCATTTATGTTAGATTTCCTCCTTAATGTTTTTCCGTTTTATTTATTTTAATGTGTTTTATGTGTTGCATTGTTTGTCCAGGGGAAGTTTTATTCTATTATTTTGTATTGAGGGATGCTATAAATTGCTGAGAATTTCATCAATTGTGATAGAGATAAATTCAGTAATTAAATAATCTGGAAGTTAATAAGTCTGCTCAGAAATAACGGTGACATCTGTGCCATAGCCTGTTTTAAATTTGTAGTCATGACATTCATTAAGTTAATTCTCCACGGAGGTTCAGGATCTTTGCAAAAAATGGAGCCTAAGAAAAACTGGTCTTCCACCTCTGTAATAAACTTTATGTGTATAACATGCAGTAGGAAAATGCCCTGTTTTTAAACATTTCTTGTATGGTGCTTTTTTAGCTGAACCAAGTCCTCTAATGTTGTGGAAATTCCCCTAACTTGCATATGCAGGCTGAGAGTGTGAGCTTTTTTTTCTGCTGTGTATATCTGAAATGGCCGAGCTGCATTATCTAAAGTTTCTTTTGTTCAGCTTTGCCAAAATTCCCAAATGAATTTTGTGTTTGCAATAGGGATATTCTTTCTACTATTGTTTTTTTCTGGAGAAAGGGTTCCTTCCTTTAAGATGGTTTCAAGTTTCCTTTGCATCCTGATCTGTGGTGATTAGCTCTTATTGCCTTGCTATTTCAACAACTTAATCAAGAGTTAAGTTTTCGGTGCATTTCATCTTCTCATACTGGCTTTTGTTTATAGTCACCAGTACAATCCCTAAGATGTTCATCTTTTTTCTTAGCAAAATCACTTTGTGTTTTGCAAATTCATAAAAGCTTCTAACAAAGATTCAGTGTTTTCTCCAGGTAGCTGTGTTCTTTGCTATCAGCAGAATCCATACAGCACATTCCTTTTTGGAATGAACTAGGCATCAAATCTAGTCCAATTTCATGGCTCTCTTCTTCAAAAGAAATTATTTATAGATATTGTTTGCTTCCTTCTTCATGTCTTAAAAAACAAAAACTATTTGTACTATTCTTTCTTCTTCATAGCTTGTTTGAAGCAGGCAAATTTCTCATTCCATTCAGGATTGCTGTAGGTGAAAGCTTCTGGTGCAAGAAAATGAGCCCTCTCTATGTCTGCTGGCCACAGACATGGAATCCTAAAATGGCATCCAAGGGTACCAATTTGCCATGGTCACTTCCCTTTTGAGCCTACAAATCCCCCTAGCACATATGAAATATATATTTAAAAATGGTAGGTAGCTGCAGTCTAGTGTTTTCTTTACAAATGTAACCAACTGCACAGAAAAAGGACAAAGTTATGGTGATGGGATTGTGCAAATTGATTGACAATATTTCTAATTGGAAATAATGGATCTAATTGACAACAGTGGATTTAATGGACAATATTTCTCAAGACCACTGTATCTTCTTCAATGCATTATTATTATTGTTAGCAACATATTGATCACCTTTGTTTCTTCACTATAAATCCAGTTTCTCTGTCCCTGGCTTTGTTTTGGCACTTTCCCTGCCAGCACAAAGCAGGGTAAAATAAATGTTGAGGCTCTCACTTAGCTCAGGAGGCCCTCTAGGGTCAGCAAAAGAAGCATAATAGTGTTTATAACACACTATGATTCCCCATATGTATCAGTGATTACAAGAATTGGATCATAGTCATTTGAATTTGCTTCATTCAAAGGTCTGTCCCTAAATGTATTACTC